GTGTGTGTCTTTGTTTTGTGAGAGTGGAGTGTGTGTGTGTGTGTGTGTGTGTGTGTGTGTGTGTGCGTGTTTAGTATGTCAATCTTTCTGTGTGTAAGTGTTTGCGTGTATGAGTATATGTATATTATGTGTGTGTGTGAGTGTTTGTGTTTGTGTGTGTGTGTGTGTGTGTGTGTGCGCGCGCGCGCATGCTTCTTTGAGTGTTTGTATTGCATGCGCGTGCTGTGTGTGTGTATGAGAGTGGGTGTTTTTGAGTGTTTGTGTATGCAAGTGTGTGTAAGAGTTTGTGTGTGTGGAGTGTATGTATATGTGAGTGTTTGTGTGTGTATGTGTGTGTGTGTGTGTGTGTTTGTGTGTGTGTATGAGTAGCATGTAAGTGTTTTAGTCTGTTTGATTGTGTGTGCGTCTTTGGGCGTATGTATCGTGTGTGCGAGTGTGCTAAGAGCTTGTAAGTGTGTGTGTGTGTGTGTGTGTGTGTGTGTGTGTGTGTGTGTGTGTAATATGTAAGTGTCTGTCTGTCTGTTTGAGTTTGAGAGTGTGTCTTTGGGGCGTATGTGTCATATGTTAGTGTTCATGTGTGTGTATATGTGTGTATGTGCATGAGTTTTTGTTGTGTGTGCGCATAAGAAAGACAGACAGACGGACCGACGGAGAGACAGACAGACAGACAGACAGATAGGCAGAAGGGGGTAAGAGATTAAGAAATTTGTCAGTGATGAAACTGATACTTTTTTTCCACAAATAACATGTGAGTCTGTACAATAATGGCAAAACTGTAGCACACAAAACTGTTGTTTTATGTTACTTAAGTCTGACTCCATATTTAAAGTTAGCTTTCTATGGAGAGAATGGTAGGTAGGCCAATATGTAAAAATAAAGCATTGATAAAGTTCCCTCTTTGAACAGTTTAAACAAAAATTTGAATCCATTTTCTCAAAACAGCAGAGAAATAAGCAAAAATAAAAATAGTTTAGATTTGATTCTAGGTCAGTGATGGTGTATAAAATTGCTGTTTTCAGAGATTCCATTAACACTTATTGGGTAGGTAAACATGAAATAAATAAAACAATTCATTACAACGTTGACCTCATCTTCATCCTATTAAGAAATCACAAGAAACACAAGTGGATTGTAATTGTTTAGTTGTTTTATTTGTATACTCTGAATTAAATTCACATCTAGTAAAAACATTCTTAACATGTGAAGATGAACAAGTTCCATGTATATATATATATATATATATATGAAACAATTAAATCTATATTAGCAAATTTAAAGCGACCAGCACTTACATATAATAATATTACAATAGTAACATAATTATTAACAATAAAAACTGGGAACCAACTTTGCAACTGAAGTGTTAATAATCATATAATGAAGGTGAATTTGTTGCAGTGAATACAGGTACAATATATAATAATCAGGACGGCTTAGGGATAAAATTTGAACATTGCACAAAAATATAACAGAGATTCTTATAAGCCTGAAGTACAAGCAGAGATAAAAGTATGGGGTAGTGCTTGTACAAAAATTTTGATTTTACGCTTTTTAAAATGAAAAACAAAACCAACCTCAAACTATAAGTGAAGAAAGTTGTTGAACATAAATGCCTGTTTCTTGTGTACATTACTTATGGATGGCCTCTATAAAAAGAATTGGGGCCAAATAAAATAAGTAGACAAAAAACTAAGGAGGGGGGAATAAAAGTAGAAGCAGTACAAAAACTTTAGCATAATTATGATCTTTTACCATAACTTACTAAGAACAGCTCGAACATAGCCTAGAATCTCGGGCTGTTGTTTTTGTTGCTGCTGTTGCTGCTGTTGTTTTTTTGTTTTGTTTTGTTTTTTCATTCAAAGCGAGACAAGCTAAAATAAGCTATGAGTCTGAGTAAAATTCGAGGATTCACGCTGAAGGAGACATTATCAATAGCCAATCAGCAGACAAATACTTGTCGAATACAGTTTGTTCTTTGTAGTTAGTTCTTATGATCACGTACAATAGAGCGCCATTGGATGAAAAAATCAAATCAAATGTAAGCTGTTCAAAAAGCTGGAAGAACATAAGCAAATTCCTTTGTCGTAAATGGAATATTTGTTCCATAAAATCTTTCAATTATAAGATATATAGAAATAAAAAATATCACAGATCATATCATTTATCACAAACATTTGCTTAAAATTAGAGAGGCACATGTGAGGTAATAAGAGTCATTCAATATTAATTTGAAGAAGGGTGTTGTCGGTCATAATGAAAGGATAAAAAAAAGCAGAAGAGTCACAGTGGAACTCTTGAAATTTTTCCCTCTCCTAGACATTACCTGTCTCAAAAACCCTCCAGTAAACTCTTGTCTTGGTGATCACTTAAACATGAATCAAGAAAAAAACCCAAGCAATTCTCATAATGCTGCTGTCCTTTCCAGAAATATAGTACCAATGGAACTCTGATTTCTATTTTCATGGACCATAGCATCTCTACACAAATTTCACAGCTGCAATTTTGACTCACAGTCTGTGGTAACAAAAGTCATTATACGACTGACTCTCAGTCCCTGAGTGTCCACTACATCCTTCACTTAACAACCTCTTTCCAAATGATGACATCACACTTACTATGACCTGTTCCTTCATTAACAAGACCTGTGACTAGGACTAAGCCTGCATGTCCACCTCATCAGAAACTGCATTTCCAAAAGTTTTCCATCACTCGGGGAATAGGTAATTGAAATGGAGCATCAGTTTTTACCGAAACAATCAGTGAGAATTTCTTTTGGATGTGTCAACCAAAACAACATGACTCCCCCCTACAATGGACGGATCATTTGGAATGCCAGTGTGGCATTTTTGTCAGGTCATGCAGAGACACATCAGCTATAGCCCAGTTAGAGCTAAAATAATTTCAAATTTCAAGTTCTGATGAAAAAAATCTAATGTCATCGGTGATCGGCACCTCAAAATTAATAAAGCATACTCATCAATCACTAGTTTACATGCATATTAAAATTTGCTTCCTACCAACAAAAATCAGGTTGTTTTTGCTTCGATGGATATGTGGCCTACGAGTAAGTTGTATGTTTCTGCCAGAAGACAGAACTCAGGTTTATCAAATGTACGATTCTGAGGGAACCTGTAAGAATTTGGACATCTTCAAAACTGACATTTTTGCATAAATTTCAAACTGGATTAAAAAAAACCCATTTTGCACTTTATTTGGGTGCTATCAAAGTACTATGTTAAAATAAAAAATAAACAACCTCTTCAAAAGGCACTATTGCCCATACATCGTTACTGGATCAAAGAGAAACATTTAGGCGAAGAATCTTTGACCTTTTGTTGTAACATTCAATGTAATGAGTAATAGTTAAAAAAACATTGTACTTAAAATCTATTTTCTTTTCTTTAACTGCAAACATTTCATGCCAGGAAAGAACATGATAAGAAAACAAGTTTCCTCAATATGTTGCAAAAAAGCATTTTCTATATTTCACACGCACGTACAAAATTCCTTGAAATCAATAATAACGTTATTGATGTACCTCTACAAATGTATGGTTATCATAGCATAAATTCTCAATTACTTGTCTTCTTATAAAGATTTGTTCAAATAATAATTTAATCATGTAGAAACAAATCTTTCATGAAACGTCAAGAAATATCAAAAAGAGAAACTATTACAGAATTAGTTGTAAACAGTACAGGCTCGGTTGGGTTTATGTTTAGTGAATGTTCCGTATAATCTTCTCTTCAAGTTTGATCAATTTAGGACGACATGGTCTCTGGGAGTTTCCCTCCAAGTTTGGTGATGACATCCTTCAGTTGGGCAATCTCTGTGGACACGCAAAAATATGAATAACATACCATGTCACGAACAATACCTTGGGCCATACAAAATCTTTTGAGGTTTAGCCTGCAACTACCCCGAATCTTCTGACTGGACAAGATTTCCGACGCAGATCTTTTATAGAAATGAAGGGCAAGAGGAAATGACTACCATAATGACAAGGAGAAGATGGAGATGGATTATGCATGTTCTGAGAAGAGAACCAGACTCTATTGTAACGACTGCCCTCAACTGGACACCTGAAGGACATTGCAAGAAGGGCAGACCCAAAGTGACCTGGAGACGCACAGTAGAGTCTGAAATGAAGTCCTGGAACCATTCATGGGGGATGTTGACCAAGATGGCCCAAAACAGACAGAGCTGGTGATCCTTTGTAGTTGCCCTAACGGGTAGTAAGTAAGTAAGTAACTGCAACTACCAGGCTTCTGAACTCGTTACAATAAATAACATTAAATCATAAATAAATCACACTTTATTGATCCGCATGGGGAAATTTGGATAGCAATAGCAAACATACATTAATCAACACACAATTAAACACACAAATATACATACAAAGAAAAACAAATACACAATATTACACCAATATAGAACAATATCCCATACGGGTTACTATGCAATGGTCTGTATTTTTTAGCACGGTTTTTGAGTCTTACTCAAGGACACACTCCAGGTGTCAGGTAAAGCACTAGTAGCCTTACATAACTTTAGACTATAAGCAACCAATAACAACTAATAGAAAACAGTGGTAAAAATAAGGTGTAACTGGTACATTTAGAAACGAATGATCATTCACTAATAGCATTAGGGGTTGGCTCATTAAATATACAAACCACGAAGGCCTCAAGAAACTATTCATAGAACAATGTGATATTGTGGGCTGTACATTCATTCTTTTTAGTCAGTGGATAACTTGTTTTAAATGGTGACATCATAAAATGTGTACACAATCAACATAAGCTAACTGTGAGTCACATAGGAGTAATTCACCATCAATGTTGGCTATATTTTAAAAATTCATTGCTTTTTTCCTGCTTTCTTATTTGTTTGTTTTAGAATTAAGTTGATGGCTGGACCACTGTTTTAGTCAAACATATAAGTCTTAACTTAATGCCTTTTATAGAACTTTTTTACTATACTATACATTATAAGAGATCGGACAAGGGAATTTATTACAAGCTTGCTATAGTCGGAATCCTATTACAACCAAGACTGTTAAAATAAGTGAGTGGGGCCCGCTAATGTACGCCCAACTGTTAGTTTGCTGCCAGTTGATGCTTGCATACCCCCCCCCCCCCACCCCCACCTTCTCTATCTCTCACCTCTCACTCTCTCTCTCACACAAATAACAACATACACACACACACACACCTCTCTCACACAAATAACAACATACACACACAAACACACACACACACACACACACACACACACACACACACACACACACACACACACACACACACACACACACACACACACACTTTTACATTTTTTCAGCCTAATAAAGTAGTAAAAAAAATCATAAATCAACAGGACCACCCGCCATTAAACTCACAAGTAAGAATTACATGGTAAAATATCCCTTTATCATTTCAGTCTTGGTTGTATTAAACAGAATGGTGGTTTGATTTATCTCTATGCATATTTTTTTAGCATAAGTATCACCATCATAAAGTACCAGATCTGAAACAGATACAGGTGATCATGATTCGCTATTATTTCTCTGCTCGGATGCTCTCAAAATCACCCATCTCGGATGTCTTTCCCATCACCCATCTGTTAAGATTTTTAAAGTAGGTGGCTGTGAGTCTACCGGTGCCCCACATCCCTTTTATTTTTTCCTGTGAGAGCAAGATGTTCAAGGCCTTTTTATCAATTTAAGTGTCAAGAAATTGCATTTGCCTCTTCTGCATTTTTATTAGTGAGCTACCCACAAAGAAGTGGGGAAGCATCATTATACAGTATTTTATTAAAACATCTAGCCATGGAAACCTCAGCCTTCAATCCTTATGAGAAAACACTTACGATGTTTCAGGTGCTGATTTTCTTCGGTGAGGTCATTATTTCGGGAGGACAAATACACAGCATCCTGTATGGAATCTTCCAACAGCTGTCGGTAACGTTGGTCGATTGCTGCCTTCTGTTCTTCAAAAATCTCTCTGTAGCTGCGGAACGTCTGGATAGGAATTTTGCAGAAATATGTGTTATTAGATTAGTATTTTTTGCCTTCAACTGATTTGTTTCAGTCCAGCTTCAATCTGTAATTTCCTACATTCCCAATACAAATATTATTATGCTCTCTCAGTATCTATTATGTTCTCTCAGTATCATTTATTCATGCTGTTCTGTTCTGTAAGAATTTATGACTGTGTGAATTCATCAATGTGTGCGAGGGTGTCTGGGTAAACTTTGTGGGATTGTTTTTACTCAAGGATCAAGGATATACTGGAGAGAGAGAGAGAGAGAGAGAGAGAGAGAGAGAGAGAGAGAGAGAGAGAGGGGAGAGAGAGAGAGAAAGAGAGAGAGAAAGAGAGAGAGAGAAGAGAAGAGGAGAGAGAGAGAGAGAGACAGACAGACAGAGAGAGAGAGAGAGAGAGACAGAGAGAGAGAGAGCGAGAAAGAGAGAGACAGAGTGAGACTAGTGAGAGAGAGAGAGAGAGAGAGAGAGAGAGAGAGAGAGAGAGAGAGAGAGAGAGAGAGAGAGAGAGAGAGAGAGAGAGAGAGAGAGAGAAAGAGGATTACTATAGGAGCTGTGTGCTTCATATGTTCTTTGTATTATTGTACAGCGCATTGAGCACTTCTTGTCAAAATGCGCTATATAAATGCAATTTATTATTATTATCATTATTATTACCAGTCACACACATAATTATTATATCAATCGGGGATATTATTACTAATATTAGTTTTCTTTGTTACATGATGTTGAAAACTCTTGAGATCATAATTTGAAAATAGTAAACAATTTTCAAGACATGCAAAAAACCAAAAAAACTTACATCTTGACTTTCAGTTATCAAAACACTCCAAACATTTTCTGACCTGCCCCCTCATAATTTCTCTTTAAATTTTTTGGTTTGTTCAATCTTTATTACAGTTGAAGAAACAATGGCTGCCCACAAAAAATATCAAATCGGTCTTTACCAACAACTGAAGAAGCTGCAATCAGTATAATTTCAAGAGGACATGCAAAAAAAAATAAAAATGTTCAAAACAAACCCAGCGTATAACTGCAAGAGAGATGACAGTCTCTACACTCTACAGTCTATAAGGAAAAAGTATCGTGCAACTTCCCCACCCCCTCCCCCCAATAAAGTTGTACAGTAGACTGAAGAACTTACAATCAGTTAAAAGATAGAGAATGTTGCAGGAAAAGAAAAGAATACACATGTACATAAACGTCAGCTGCTTCAGACTCACCTGGTAATGCTGAAGCTGTTGGACTTCCAACTCTTCCTTGTGAAATGTGTACACCTCTTCCAGTTCAGATGCCAGATGTTGCTTCTCTTTTTCAAGTGTTTGTAGCTGAAAGTATTGGAAGTAGCAGGATAATGGTAAAAAACTATGTATTATAGATGAACTCTAATCTTTGAAGTCAACTGCCTTAGATATCAAAAAGGTTATGAGAAGTTAAAAAGAAAATATAAATCTAATAAAGATGTGGATCTCAATAAATTTTATCTTATCTTATCTCATCTTGTCTTGTCCTGTCCCTTATCTTGTATCTTATTTTTTTCATATTTCTTATCTTATCTTCTTCAAATTTGACCCTTGCTTTGGAGTTCGATCCTGTATACATATTTTCCTTTGGTATATAAGAGATACAAGTAGTAGAAAAATCACTGATAAAAATTACGGCAAAACAGGGCGAGTCAAAGTACCACTAACCTTAAGAGTCACGACTGACTTGTCTGCCTTCATTTCAGCGACCTGGATCTGTAGGTCAGCTCCTTCCTTGGTGCTGTACTTACGGCCCTCTGCTGCTTGCAGCTGGACGTCAAATAATAAATGTGTCACAACATGGTGGAATCAGGCATCCGTCAATTTTGGGGAATTTATAAAGTTATTGCTATGAAGTCATAATAGACTGTAATGTGCATAGAGTTTGCTGTTGAGTCGGAATTTGCGCTATATAAATGCTATCTATTTTTACTTTTATTAAGTTAAAGCTTGTTTATTGTATTTGAAATTGGAAAAAAATAATTATTGACCTATCTTGCATAGAGGTCGAGATAAGTGAATTAAAGAAGGTGGGTGTTACCTTATATTATAGTGAAATTAGTGAAGTAATGGTTGCCAAAGTTTGATGACCTCTAAAGTTGAATAATAGTACTAGCTCAACAATCTGTAAATGTTTGGTTTTAAACAATATTTTTAAAGTAAAACCCCAAAATGTGTTTTTCAATGATTGGAGGTTTGTGTGCAAAGAGAAAAATATATTCAATAAAAATCACACAACAGTTGGAAAAGCACTCATTTCTTCATTCCCTAACATTTGAAGAGCTCGCTCATCACGATGACCCACAATTTGTTAGATGTTTTGGGCATGTCAGATGCCATGACATCATTCCAGAAACAGATTGTTGTGGAAGAAAAGGTTGAAGGCTATAGAGAAGCAGGGAGAGACCTTAAAGAAGATGGGAGCAGGACATAGAAACCAGGCTTAGAACCTGTAATTTATACAGAACAGTCAAATCATGCCAATTTAAAAAACATTCAGTATTCTGTTTATGAGACTTCATGTCAAAGTAAGAAAGCCTTCTTTTTTTTCTATCAATATTTATAACTTATCCATAATGAAAAAGGAGACTGATTTAAATCACGCTGCTCAGAACTATCAGATAAAATCTCCATGACAATAAAATTAAACATAATATTTAATATTGTGGAAGGCTATGTCTACATCAACCCATGGAACACTACGATGTGTACTTCAATTTAGAAGTTGTCCCCTCACAGCAAAAGATGAAGTTCTGAAATATAAAGAGCATCCAGTGTGACATGAAAATCACCTGTATTTCTGTCTTTTCACTGTCAAGCTCAAGTCGAGACTTCTCTAATTCTTCCTCCACCATTGCTTTGTGTTCCAGTTCCATTTGAAGCCGTTCTTCTTTCTGTAAAGAAATATCGCAAAAGTATTAAAATCTTTCATACAAATGTTCATATATTGGAGACAACTTAATCAAATGCTAGCTCTCATGAAGTTACTTCTGATTAACCTTTTGAATACCACTGGTATTTACCAACAGTTAACGAGATTGGTATCACAGTCAAGTACCTATTCCTCGAGTCTTTTTTGTTTTGCTGAAGCTCTAGTTGTGAAAACAAATACTAACAAATAGAGCCATAAATCAAAATGAGAGAACAAAGAAACAATGCTTTGACTAAATGACAGGACAAAAAAATTCCTTAAAAGACTTACCTCTACTTTCTGTCGAAGTTCTGCACTCCCTTTTACTGCATTTGTGTGTGCCCTTGCATCCTGAAAGGAAAAAAGATTACATTAAAAAAGTAAGAATTATCTTTCTATGACAATGAGAAAGATTAATTACCATACATTATGTTCATAGATGGCATAGAAATACAGATTTTTTTTAGCAAATGAAATATAAATCTCAAATTATCTAACATTGATGCTGGATAGAAAGATGCAGGTGAAAAATTGGAAGAATGTGGCAGAAGATGATCGGATGGGGAGACAGTAAGATGTTTAGATACCTCATTTGACTAGCTGAGAGGGCTAAATTGGTGCTTCTTCAACCAGAGGAATAATTTTTTGAGCAATAATTTCATAGTAATAAACACCAGTAACATTTATTAGAATTTAGATAAGCCTTTTATAACTTCTTTTTATCTTATGCATCCTTTTTTTTAAACGGCATTTCCATGCTGTTTAGATCTAGCCTTTTTCTTTTTGTCTTGCATTCTCTTTGAACTTAAAAAAACCCAACTCTGTTTCTTCCTTTCTTTTGGTAATATTTCCTATTAGTCTATCTTATCGCTTTTCCTTCTTTGATTCTTCATGCTGATATTTTGCTTTTGTCCTTTTTTAACACTCAGTACACATCACAATTTGACTTTACCTCTCGTCGTTGCTGTTGTTTTTGTTGAACTGCGAAGAGCTGTTCTTTCAACTGCTTCAATCCCTCAGTCTCTTTCTTGAGCCTTTCTTTCAATTCATGAATGGCAGTAACTCGTGATTTTGTTTCACTCTCAGATTTCTTTCCTAGAGTATTGAAAAAAAAAAAAAAATTACACAGTGCACTCAGGAAACAAAACATAGCACCAGAAAAGAGAATTAGGTTACAGTAAAAAGAACAGAAACAAGGACTCAATGTATTAGCAGAGGGTGTGACAATTTTGGTAGAGCAGATAGAACATTCGGTTTCTGACCTCATAATCTTAGTACTCAAAACGGTCAAAAATGTCAGACAGAACTTTGTAATTCTATAGTAGTGATGTGTCAGTAACTATCGTTAGTAGCAATAAATGCGGTCCTGTGTACGTACATATGTACTTTAATTCATTTCTCTTTTAATTAGCAGAGGGTAAGGAAATTTGGATGCCAAGATAAGTGTGTTTCTTTTAAACAAAGGAAATGAATGAAAACAGTCAGGATTTCACAAAGCTCTTGGGGTAATATGGTAGTGGGTTACCCAAGACAGGGGTCAAGAGGGATACATTGGTATTATAAAATTTTTAAACTGGTATCTAAAGTTTTGTTCTTCTCACCAATGGGTGTGATTTGAGAGTCACAAGAACAGTAAGAAAAATTAATGAAAACTTTGTAGCTAAACGATATCAGCATCAACAAAAACTGCCTCTTGAGGTGAGTAGCTTTGATATTGAGATCTAAAATAAAACACACATTTAACCTCTCCACTGTAGTGTAGACATAGGAACGTATGAACTTTCTTTTGTTCTCCTCTATGGTTCTCTGCCCATTTGTCTACTGGGTTATTGGGGAAGGTTTAGGAGATGATGTAATTACAAGTTGTGCTGTTGTATATTCTTAAAAAAGAAAAAAGATATCACGGCTTTGTTTAAATCTCTCTTTAGTGAAGATTTTTATCTTGCTTGTACAAACGTTGGTGGAAATATATCAGCAATGAAGGGGTTAAAGAGCTGGAGGACTTTACCCCTTTCTCCAAAATCAATAACATACCTGATTCAGTGAATTTTGCGTATTCTGAAATTTTCTTTTGCAGTTCCTCTTTCATAGATTCCACCACTTTTCTCTTTTCCTTGTATTTGTCTGTCAGCTGGTGCCAATAAAAGAAAAAGGAGTGTTAAGGTTTGCCAAAAAAGAAAACAGCCCTAAAAACCACATGGTTGCCACATAAGTGCCAGTATGCCTCTATAACATCCTTCAGGGTTGTAAAATAGCCAATCCACTATGAACAAGTTGACTAGGAGGAGATACACATCTTTGTTGAAAACTGTGCTAAGCATAATTGAAAAATTTTTAAAAACGGCACAATATTAATAGTGGGTGGTTGGAGGGCACTTTGGTATGGTTTGCTCCTTCTCTCCTTTCAATCATCTAACGTCGTGATCTCTCCTCCTTTTTTCTTAGTGTTTGTTACTCTCTTGTAACATCTCTAATTTTTGGCCTTTATATGATCTTATTGTGTTGCATGTGCTGTAAAACTCGTACTGAAACAAAACAACGTATATGATCTTATTGGGTGTTGCAAATAATTGTGCTGTAAAACTCGTACTGAAACAAAACAATATTAATACTGGACCACAGCTGAATTTTTTCAAGCAGCATTATGAGGTGAAGAAAATATGCACATCCATGGATGAGGGGAGGGAAGTAAAAGCCATACAATTTGCCCATTACGTATTCACATGCTTGTTTAAGTAACAGTTTTACAGCACTTGCAACACAATAAGGTCATGTAAATGCAGGTGTTTCAAGAAGTTAACAAACACAAAAAAGAAGGAGGGATCAGAACGAAAGATGTTTGATAGAAAAGAAGGAACTACTAATAACACCAGAGCACCCGCCAACAATCCGCAATTTTCACAAGTGCCTGATGTAGTCAATTTGAGCATGCTTAGGTTCTGAAAAGATCCAGTTCAGTGAAGCATGGGTCACAAAGATAGAGGAAATATTATGTAATAAACTCTAGATGTGAAGCTCATTGCACAGTTCACAACCTCACAAAGACAAAGAGAGAAATGTATACACACACACCCAGAAAAGAAACCCCCCACCAAAATCAAACAAACAACAAAACAACAACAACAACAACAAAAACAACCTTACAGTACCTCTTATTCGTACAAAATGATCAATTCTTCAGTGACATTTTTTGTAATAATAGTAAGCCATGTGGACAGGGGTAGTACTACTATAATTTAATGATTCAATGGTAATCCACAAACCATAATCTATTTCCCTCATTTCCTCTCTCCGCACGTTTCTTTCCTTCTTTGCCAACATTTTATTCCTCACCTTGACTACACATTTAAGGGCATACACATGCATTTCCTCTTTGCATAAACCATTCAGAATAAGCATCAGCTTACATTGTACAGAATACCTTTTTCACAAAAAGGTAACACACATTTTTATGAATTAAAATTAAAAAGAAATTTTTGTGGGACG